AGCCGCGTGCGCGGCGCGGCGGGAGCACAGAGAATTCTTTTATTGTTAAATTTAGACTGCTGCTATATATCCAATTTGCAACCGCATCTTATTTATATCAGGTACGCTTGTTAGCAAAACACACGAGACAGGCAAATGAAGTCACCAGTTTTCTCCAGACGTAGCGATATCTTCTGCTCATTGAACGACAGAACCTAATCGATATGATTTGGTGAACGATCTGCTAGAGACTCTCGAGTATGCTGCATGCTAGATAGGATTCTGAGACACGTCTCGGAAAACTTAGATTCCGGATGTGCCCAAGATCGCAGGAGGAATGGCAGAGGACTGTAAAGGATGTATGGTTTTACTTGCCAGTTTAGTCGTTCAATGCATTAGGGTTAGAACACGTCGGACAGCGTTACCTGACCCTCTGCATGAGAGAGTACATATTGGTAGATTATGTGTTTGTACTGTGCCATATTCTTAATGCCATTAGTAGGAGTTTTAAAACCTGCAACAACTTGTTCAGGTACCAGCTCGTTTAACGACGATGGCAGAGATGGATGCTAATTATGGTAGTTTACTGTGCCATTTCGTCTATGCATCTAGGAAGTTTAAAACACTCGGTAGCACTTATGTCGACAGCCCAGTTGCATGATGGCGATATGTAAGTTTAAGTGTGTACTGTACCATTTGCTCATCATAGGGAGTAGAAACAACTCTATGGACACAGTGTGAATGTCGGAGCAACCGTCCTGTATGCATGGCAAGATATCTAATGTTGGGGTTTGTGTACCGATTGTCTCGTAGCAAAAAGCGATGATCTGATACCATCGATACTTGTAAGTCGGGAAATGAACGACCCCTTGTCAGGTGAGAGATGGCAAAAGATGTAACTTATGTTTGTGTGTACTTGCCAGGACTCATGGGCATTTGGGGTTTAAACACCTAGGACACTATGTCGGGATCCTCTCCGTTACATGGGTACGGCAGGAGTAGTAATTAGGCTGTTTGTTGCCTTTAACTCTGGCATATGGGTTCGATACGGACGGTACGGGACACTTGTTTCGAAATAAAGAACCCTTCAGTGAGATGGCAGATAGTGTGAATTAATAAGTGGTCCGCTTGCCCATTGTCTCAATGCATAGAAAAAAGGGAGGTTTAAATACGTCAGGACCCCCATTCGGAGCCCGTCGTTATTAATTGAATGGCAGATAGTAATATAGGTTAAACACTTGCGATTTAGTCTCGATACATTAGGGTTTAAACATCATTCGGAACAACTTATTGCGGCCAGTCTGTGCGATGATGGCAGATAATTGTAGTATTAGTGTGTGTTATTTTAGCCACCTCTCGTAGCGAAAAGTAGGTTGAACGAACACTCGACCGAAATCTTATGCCGATCCCATGGCAGATGTGACCAGTAGAGTCGTAAGTTATGGTGGTTCTGTGTTGCCATTTCTTCATGGTAATTTACAAGGAGTCGAACATCGGGTCGGACACTGTTTATCATGAATAGAACCCTGCTTGTGCAACTGATGGCAAGAGAAGGGTAGAGATGATGGTGTGTTGTCTTGCCCATTTCTTGCATGCCTTAGGGGTTTAAGAAGCGTCGTGAGCACTTATGATCGGCAAAAAGACCCTCGCATTTGCAGGTGATAGCAAATAGATGGTAAATTTGATGGTGTGGTTACGCAGCGCAGTTTCTTCCGAATGACATTAGGGGTTTCAACTATGCGGTACACTACTTCAGAGAGACCCTCGCCGCCCCGACACAACTTTTGCCATGAGAAAAAGAAAACGAAAAAAAAAAAAAAAAAAAAAAAAAAGAAAAAATGGCACAAAGAAGAAGAGAAGAAAGAGAGATTGATTTAAAATGTGAGGTGTTGTGTTGCCATTGTCTGTCGTGCAATTGGATTCGAACAGCGCCAAAAGTAGAGTCCGATCGCGAAGTGCATATGCAGTGATGATGTAATGTGAGAGATGAGTGGTTTGCTGTTGCCCGTTCAATGAAAATAAATAAAGACGAATTGGAATAGCCACTTTAGACAACTCTACAGAAGAAAAATATTAAACATCACGAGAAACCCAGTACTTTACATGATGGTAGTAGTAATATGTAATAGGTGTTTACTTGCCATTTCTCATCCATTAGGGTTTATAAAAACTTAGACACTTTTTCGACCCTCTTGCAGGATGGCAGAGATATGTAATTATAGTGTTTACTTCCCATTTCTCATGCATTACGGTGTAACACATCGATATTTTTTCGGACACTTCCTATATCATAGTAGATATGTAAGTTTGGTGTTTGTTTTCCATTTTCTCGTGCGAGAGAATAGGATTCGAAGACTCGGATACTTTTTCGGAACGTCTTGCATGATGGCAGAGATGTAACTATGTTGTTTACTTGCCACTTCTCATGCGTTGGGTTTAAACCTAGGAACTTATTCGGAACCTCTTGCATGACGACAGATATGTAATTATGCTGTTTGTTGCCATTTCTTCCGCGTTTGTTTCGAACGCTCGGACACTTATTCAGACCCCCTTGCCATGATGGCAGAAATGTAATTATGTGCCACTTGCCATTTCTCATGCAATTGGGTTTAAACACTCGGACACTTATTCGGACCCGTCGTGCAGATGGCAGATATGTAATTATAGTGTTACTTGCCATTTCTCATACATTAGGGTTTAAACACTGGCGGACACTTATCGGACCCTCTTTCATGATGGCAGATTGTGTAATTATGGTGTTTTGTTTGCCATTTCTCGTGCAATAGGATGCGAATACTCCAAAACTTATTCCGACCCCATCGGCAGGGATGGGCAAAGATGTAATTATCGTGTTTGTTGTCGTTTCTTGTTGTATTAGGATCGAACACTCGGACACTTATTCGATCCCCTTGTATTGATGGCTGATATGTAAATATGGTTGTTTTCTTGCCATTTCTCATGCATTACGGTTTAAACACTCGGAACACTTATTCGGCACTCTGCATGATGACGGATATGTAATTATGGTGTTTATTTTCCATTTCTCATACGTTAGGGTGAAAACACTCAGATTGCATGATGGCAAGATATGTAATTATGGTGTTTGTTTGCCATTTCTCTGTGCAATAGGATTCGAACACTCCGAAAGTTATTCCGATCCATCAGTTACATGATGGCAGATATGTAATATGTGTTTCTTTGCCGTTTCTCATGCGTTTAGCCTTTAAACACTCGGACAATTATCCGGACCCTCTTACATTATTGGTATAATGTAATATGTGTGTTACTTGCCATTTCTCATGCATTAGGTTTAAACACTCAAACACGTATTCGAGACCCCTCCTGCAAGATTGGCAAATATGTGAATTATAGTGTTTTACTTGCCATTTCTCACGACATTAGGGTGTAAAAACTTGGACACTTATTCGGACCCCTCCTGCTATCATAGCGGATATGTAATTTGGTGTTTGTTGGCCATTTCTCATGAATTAGGTGTGTAAACACTTGGACACTTATTCGGACCCCGTGCATGATGGCAGATATGTAATTATAGTGTTTACATAGCCATTTCTCATGGCATTACGGTTTATAAACACTCGGACACTAATTCGAGAACACTCTTGCATGATGACAGATATGTAATATATGGTGTTTATTTGCCATTTCTCTACGTTAGGGTTGAAACACTTCAGATTGCAAATGGCAGAATTATGGTAATATAATAGGTGTTTGTTTGCCATTTCTCGTGCAAATAGGATTCGAACACTTCGAAAGTTATTTCCGATCCAGTTGCATGATGGCAGATATGTAATTATGGTGTTTCTTTGCCGTTTCTCATAGCGTTAGCCTTTAAACACTCGGACAATTATCCGGACCCCTCTTACATTATGTAGATATGTAATTATGGTGTTTACTTGCCCATTTCTCATTTGCGATTAGGTTTAAAACACTCGAACACGTATTCGGACCCTCCTGCAGAGATGGCAAATATGTAATTAGTAGTTTACTTGCCATTTCTCACGCATTAGGGTGTAAACACTTGGACACTTATTCGCACACTTCTGCATCATGGCGGATATGTAATTTGGTGTTTGTTGGCCATTTTCTCATGAATTAGGGTTGTAAACACTTGGACACTTATTGCGGACCCTCGTGCATGATGGCAGATATGTAATTATTATGTGTTACATGCCATTTCTCATACATTTGGGTTTAAACACTCGGACACTTGTTCGAACCCTCTGCATGATGGCAGATTGTGTAATTATGGTGTTTGTTTGCCATTTCTCGTGCAATTAGGATGCGAATACTCCAAAACTTATTCTGGTCCCATCACAGGATGGCAGAAGATTAATTATGGTGTTATATTGCCGTTTCTTTGTGTATTGGATTCGAACACTCAGACACTTATTGCGGACCCAACTTGTATGATGGCTGATATTTAATTATGGGTGTTTTCTTTGCCATTTGTCTCATGCATTAGGGTTTAGAAACACTCGGACACTTCTTCGGACACTCTTGCATGATGATAGATATGTAATTATGTGTTTATTTGCCATTTCTCATACGTTAGGGTCGAAACACTCAGATACTTATTCAGGACCCTCTTGCATGGATGGCAAATATGTAGTTATGGTGTTTGTTTGCCATTCTCGTGCATATAGAGATTCGAAAACTGCCGAAAGTTATTCCGACACCGCAAGTTTGAAAATGATGGCATAATATGTATAATGGTGTTTTTTACCATTTCTCATGCCGTTAGCTTTAAACACTCGGAGAATTATCCGAACCCTCTTACGTGGTTGGTAATTATGTAATTAGGTGTTTACTTGCCATTTCTCATGCATTAGGGTTTAAACAATCGGGACACTTATTCGGACCCTCTTACAACCGATGGCCGATATGTAATTATGGTGTGTTACTTGCCATTCTCATGCATTAGGGTTTAAACAATCGGACACTTATTCGGGACCCTCTCTGCATGAAGCAGATATGT